CCTCCAATTATTGTACTACATGATCTCCTTTGCTCTTACATCCTCCAATATCTCTCTCCTTATTTTCCCGCGTTATGATATGCACGTATACTTTGCCTATATAAGACATCGAATCTCCATTCATTCATTCATTCTTCTTCCTTTGGGGTTGTGCGTTTTAGGTTATTTTGTTTCTTGTGTTTAATATTGTGTCTTTACTATGGTTTAATTACCCAAGTTTGAGGTTCCAATAAAAGCACAAACGATTCCTACTGTCCACACATTTCAACCAAGGCAATCTATTTTCGCTACAATTACTATCATTCCATTTTTTATTATTATCGCTGACGTCATCATTCATTAGCATCTTCTATCAAACTATTTCATAATATCTAGTAGAAATATTAAATTTATTGTAAAAAAAAGTTAATTCGTAGTTAACTTAAAGATTTATTTAATTACAGGATTATGGGATAAACTTACAGTTGAACCCAATCGATGTAATACTTTGCATCACGCAATCCTCCAATCTTTCCAAAAATATCACTCTCCTTGTATGCAAACACAGTATGATAATCATTCGGTTTTGTGATGTAATCATCACACAATTCATCAAATTCATGACATGCTAATGCACCGAATGTAATTGTTGGATGACGTAAAACTAACGATTTTGAAGCTTCGGCCCATAAATAGAATATATGCTTACTTATGATATTGTCTAAAAAAAATTTCGTTTATTTTTTAATTCTAAATTTTTCAAGTCATCGAAAGCCTTTTTAAAATTTATCTTGATGTATAAATTTATTTTCTCTTTTCTCTGTACATTATTTGTAGTCATATATGTGACAATATAACAGTTTCAATTAATACTGCACCCATTTTTATTATAATTAATGAACAGGAATATGATATGGGATGAGTGATACAGTAGTGATCGAAAAAATGAATGATTTACTTCATTATCAGAAAAAAATCAAAAATAAACAAATTATTAACTTTGTTATAAAAAGTGGTAATTTTCTATCTTTTCCTCTCTCCATCATCATTCGTCATTCTTTCACAACTATATACTTAAAAATAAATAGAAAATTGAAATGTAATATAAAATTACCGGCATTCCAAAATAGGATAAATGTTAGCTGATCGTTATTTATAGCATCACCTAATGTGCTTTTATTCATACGTTGTAATTGATGCCAATTTAATGGTTTATCAAAGGATCGTCGTTCTAACAGCAATGGTTCGATAAGATTAAGTTCTAATGGAGAACGTAAAATTGTATTTTTAAATTTCGTTACTTTTGATTTACGCTGCTTGTCCATTAATTCCTATAAGTAAAGAAAAAAGGATTTCATTTGCAAAAATTTTTCCAACTTTACAAAAATTATGGCAATTAAATATTATTGTAATTCAAATATACTTAATCTATTTTTATAATTTTAAAATTTACCTCGTCCGATAATCGGCGTACAAATCCAACTTCTTTATCTGCTTCTTTACTACAGTATGCCGTCAGATCGTGTATACTATGTTGAGAAAGTGTACTGCAATAATTTTTTCTACTAATTTTTTTATTATCATTGTAAACAAAGCGGAGCAATTAAGAATGTAATAATGTAATAATGTAAAATATAATAATAACAATGTAATAATACAGTAATAATAATATATTATATAAAAGAAAAACAATCGAATTACGTTATGCATAATGCATGTATTTATGACTTAAATTACGCATTTATTACAAACGTGTAAGTTAAATTGTGTATTTATTAAAAACATTATTTATTAAAAGTATATAAGTATTATAGTTGTATCTTAGAATATAAGATTTAAGAGCAGATAACATCGTGGAATGTAAAGTAAAATTTAACTCTTTAAATTATGCAATTTTTTCATTAATAGATTAATAGGTCAAATAGATTAATACAATACATACGAATAATGCTAGAATTACCGTTTCGACATAAGTTATTAGTGACCGCAAAAAAGTATAATTTTTGCACTAATAAAATCAAATATGAACATATCGTGAACCCGAACAAAGCATACCCAATCAATAAATTTACACTATATTATAAATTATTTTTTATGAATGCATTATAAATTTAAAAAAATTCTTTTAGTCAAAATTCATAGCATGCAAACAAATATAACCTTTAACTGTTTCATTCAATAAATTTTGATCGAAAAAATAAAAAATTAAAATAAAAGGCAAACTTTAAAAGTGATGCTTCGATAATTGCTTTATTACGGTTAAATTTTGCTGTAATTTCATATATCACGTCTCCCTTATCTCTGAAATTTAAAGGTACTATTAAGGTCGGACAAATGTTTCAAAAAAAGATTAGATTAGATCAATGCTTCAATTTTTTACAAAAAATATTCAATCTAATCATAATTACATTATTTTATAAAAAAATGTACAAATTAAAATAATTTAAAATTCAACGTATTATTGTTGAGTAATTATTTTAATTTTTCTTCGAAACTTTTTAGCAGTATAATTGCTAAAGAATTTTTAATAAAGAAGAATAAAAAAGTATTAACAATTACAGATCATTGATGATCAACCAATGGAATGATTCGTGCAGCGAATAGTGCAAACATTTCGACTGTTCGTCTTTCGCACAATTTATCTACAAATAGAGAAATGGAAAAGTTCTACAAAAGTAAAAGTAAAAACTGAAATTTTCTTAAACGTTAAACTTTTTTAATTTTTCAAAATTTAATTTCAATCTGCGAACCTTAATCACCTAATTTCATCTTCCAGTTAACATCAAAAACAATGGCGCATATTTCTGATATTAATTAGATTGTAATTAAGTTAAAGGTTTGTATAAAAACAGTCGATAAAAGATTATTTTGTTTTGTTGTTTTCTTGGCGACAGAATAATTGTATACATACAAATGAATTAGTAAATATTTAGTTTTAATTTTAAAACTTTCAACTATTAGTTTTTAACTTTCCCTTGTTTTACAATTAAAATCAAACCTTTTTAACTATTAAATTAACTCGAACTTCACGTCTCAATCGTCGGGTAATTTCATCGAGTACGCTTAACATATCATCACTGAAAAGTTGATCCAATTCTAGAAAAGGATCATTTCTATTCCATTTTCCAAATTCACTAACCTGATTTACCATTATACATATAAGTACAGCTTATTCGGGTTTCTTCTGGTGCTAAGGCGGGAGCTCGTATTTCATTTTCATCACCGAATTCTCCAATTTTTTTTCTCGGGCATTCAGCTCTAAATTTGCTCATAAAAATAACAAATTTAATACTAAACTTTTAAAATTAAAAAGGAAAAAAAAAACAACAAAATAAAATAAAGCAAAAATAAAGATTAAGAGAAAACAAAGGAAAGAAATTCACCTCACCTTACAATTGCTTCGATAAATATAATGAAAAAAGATAAGTAAGAGAAATACATCACTTCCATCACACTGTCATTTAAATCAAGGACGTTTCTCGATCCACCGAAATTTCCGAAATAATGAATAACACACAAACGTATATATATATCTCTGTGTGTGTATGTGTTTCAACAAACTTCAATGCCATTTAATTCACCATCATCGTAACAGTTCATGCCAATTGCCCCATTATCATTAATGTAACATGATTTTAAATTTAGTTTCTATTTAGCAGAAAATTAACTCAAATAATGATCGGCTTATTATGTTAAATGAAAAAAATGAAAATACTGTAATGTATTTAACTTATTCAATAATAGGAGTAGTTCCTGGATTCATTTCTGCTCCGCTATTGACTTTTTGGCTATCTTCATTATTTCCTTCATTTGGCCATTATCGATATTTAATGTGTAATTGCATATTTAATATGTATATTTATTGCAATGTATTTACTTAATAATATCAATAATGTTACTGTTTATTACTTAAACAATAATATTTGAATTATTGTTTGTCTAAATCGTTCAATATTATAAACGAAATGTAACGATAAGTTTAGTTAAGTTCACTGTAACTGTAGTAATAATATATGATATGTGATATATTAATATTTTTTTTTAAATAAATGCATTTTTTTAAATGCTATTTGTCAATTCAAATAATTTAACAATGACATCAAAAACACAACTTATAGAATTTATTGCAAATTTATTTCAAACAATAGAAATACGGTATATCTGATGAAGACGGAGATTGTCATGAAAATTGCTATCAATTTAGGGATTGTTGAGAAGGATTCAAATGCCATGTGTCGGAAATTATCGCGGAATTTGAAATCATCATAAATTCAAATATCATTATTTTAAAATAAGAGACAATACAAACGCATGAACCGCTACATGTCTACAAAATTGCTTCTGATTCAAAGAATTATTACTATTTTGGCGATCGTTGTGGATAAAATGATCTGAAGTTAGCATTTCCATTCAGGAATGGTTAATTAAAAATACTATCGAAAGGATGTCCCATTAAATAGAATGAGAAATTTAAGTATTAAATTTTATAACTGAAGATATGCATAATTGTAGCAATATGGAATCCAATGATTCCATTATCATTTTTAGATTCTTTTTCATTGTGATATAACCTTGAAACATGTACCACTAGTTTGTCACAATAGTCAGAAAAGTTCTCCGCAATGCGATGACAATACACTTCGAATATGTCACTAATTTCTTCCTTTTTATCGAAATTCAAATATAACCATTGGTTCATTAAATGAAATTTAATCCAATATTATGTGACACTACGCTAGATTCGGCAGGAAAGGAGATAAAATTAAAAAAAAAAATAAATTTATAAGCTAATGGGATCAGCAGTCTTGCAACTTGAAATGCTAAATCTATCAAATTCCAGTTTTATTACATTTTCGATCATTAATAAAAATATTAACAGCAACACAACAAGACAACAAATAACCTAAAAGAATTATAATTAATTAGATCTTCTATTGCGGCGTCCATCACTTCTACCACCGGCTTTATGTCCTTTTTTCTGACTCATTTGCTTTTGACGACGATTATCTTTCTTTAATCGAGCATCCACTACCTGAAAACTTGCTTTCCAACTATTTTGTTTACACTACCAAAACAACAAATGAGAGAAAATTTTTTTCTTAAATGTATGTTACTGAAAACGAAGATAATGAGCAAGACCCTGATCTACATTAGATAAACCATTCCTAAGATATCCACTTTATTTATTTCTCTCTTCGCAAGAAGCCGTTGCTGTTTACATGATGAAATTAATTGAAAACTTTATTATTCATAAAGACAACTTTTTACCATGACTATACACAAATCATTCACTTTAAGAAACACTTACTTTATACGGCCCTTTTGGCCTGGCCAAGCTTCCTCGTTTGCCCTTTGTCATTACTGCATAAGTTATCTTTTTCTTTTCTTTTATTGATGCGGCCGTTTTACTATATAATCTTCAAAACATATGTTTAGATCTCAACTCTTGACTTAATTTTTTTGAAGCAAATAATCCCTAAAAAAATGACTTCGTAGCAACGAGGAATGAAAAGCATTTAACATGCAAAAAGCAATGAATTTTGAGCTTACTTGCGAATTTCGCGAACTTTTTCTGCTTGCTCCATATTTTCACTTTCAATAATACCTTCAGCTCTTTTCTTTGCTAATTGCAATTTCCGCTCCCGTCGTCTCTTCTTCCGTGCTTTTGCTTCAGCAACTTTTTTGATTGTTCGTGTGTTGATATCTCGCATACGATTTTTGTAGAATTCCACTCGATCCTGAATTTGACATTAAAAAAATGCATACATCATAATGAATTACCCTTATGTATTCTCTAAACAATTGCTAGAAATATAAACTTTTATCTTGTTAAAAAAAATTTACTTTTGAAACTGGAAGTTCCTTTTTGAAATGCTTCTTTTCGTCTTCCACAAACCAATCAGGAAGTCCTTCATCATTGTTCATATATCTTTAAATGCTCAGCCATAAGCAAAACACAGAGACCTTGTAAAAATACAAAAACAGAGGCCCCACCTAATTAAAGCTATATAAGCAACCTAAACTTTAATAATCTCTGGAACATTTGTGAAAGTATATTCAAATATTTTGGTGTTCCGGTTTTTCATTTTCTATAAATTCAAATCAATAAACAGTACACACTACAGGATTATCGATGTGAGGAGTTAGATAAGACTACCGATAGTTCTGAGTTAAAGCAGTGTTATTTTAAACAGTTAAATTTAAAGCATATAAGCCAAGATCACCTGTTCCATCCCCAATCTTCCAGGTCTCGTCTTGTTTTTGACGAATATATTAGCTGCTCTCCAAGTGCAAGTAGTTCAGGAGAAAGTTTTTTCATTTTACCTGAAGAAAAATTTATTATATGCATAAGCTGATACTACTTTGCGATTCTGGTCAAAATTAGCTACAAATACCAAACCTGGCTTTTCCGTCTGAGTTAGATTACATGAGGAATTTTTTGCATTAGTTCTATCTATATCATGATATTCCTCGTCGCTTTCATCATCATCAATGAAGACGGAAGTAGTTTCTGCATCTACTCCTCCTTCGTTATTCAGATTTTGGCTATCTTCATTATTTTCTTCATCTGACCATACCTCGATATTTGATTTCAGCTTCTCATTTCCTTCACTGTTCTCCTTTCTACTACCTATAAACTGAATGAAGAGCTGTGGTACAACGTAAACATCAAGCAATTGCTAGAAATTAGACATAACTAGTTATAAAAACTCTTGCTGGATAACCAAACTGAATGAAAATTGACTGAAGGAACCTTGTGAAGCATTCTTAAATTTCTTCATGAAATTTTCAACAGCTCTTAGAGCGCCTTCTTCATCATCGATCATTTCAGCAACTTGATGCTGGAATAAATAATGCACAATAATTTTTATAACCAGCCAACTATTTTCAAATATAAATGTAAAATAAAGGTTATTGCAAAATATCAAATTTATTGCAACAGTGCAACAGTCATTCTGCAATCTCTAAGAGAAGGCAAATTTTTCAAAAATCCAAAATTAACCAAAAAATTTCATTTCACTTAGTTTAAACTGAACAAAATTTCTATAATACTTTTCTACATCATATGAAATGTATTTTATGGACAAAAAGCAACAATATTAAATACAAAAGCTAACGCGGCCAAACCATTCTGCCTTTTGAGCTTCAACTTTTTCTGCTTTTGACATACATGGATCTTGCTCGTGATGAAATTCTTCTGCGTCATCATCAATGCTAAAATATTAGTTATATTTAACAATCTTTAACATCAAGGCACCAAACTAAAATCAATTTGAGATCCAGAAGGAACATCGCTACTTATTTATTTACTAACTCGAGTATTTGTTCAAAAGTAACAAATAGAAATGTTATCGCAATTTTAAAAGGTCAATTTAGTTGTTTGCAACGAATCTAAAAAAATCGTAATCGTAAGGATATTTTTTTGTTTTTAAATAGACATTCTAACAAACGAGCTTCCTAGTTAACTAAATGAGTTTCAAACACGTACCTCCCAAGAGGAGGGAAATTATGATACAGAAAAAAACTTTTTCGTACCCTGAATCATCGTTATTATCATCACTGGTAGAATCTTCATCATCATCACTATTACTCTCATTGTTATTATTCCTTGTTTTCGAAACATTGTTAACATCTATACTTCGTCGATCCTTAGCTCTCGCAACTTTTTTTAATGAAAACAGTTCTTGTTCATTGGGTATTTCATAGGTATCTCCTTCTACTAGCATTTTTAGCTTTTTTTTTTTTTCATTATTAGCTTTATCTTTCAGCAATTTTCGTTTCCTTTTCTTTAGTGCCGCCTGTAAAAATTCTTTTTCATATGGTATAACCAGAAACAATTAAGAAGCAATGCAATAACAAAGAAAAGAAGATACCTTTTCTTCTGCTTTTGCCGTCAATAACTGCTGTTCGATTTCTGCCATCCGTTCATCCCTGAAATCACGGGAAATCTTTACAATGCAGATGGAAAAATTGAATGTTGAGAACGGTGCTTTAACTTACTCAGGATTGACCACCATTACAGCATCTTTTGTTTTATTATCGGCTTCGTCCCGAGACATTTCTTCATTGATTTTTTTGATAATATTTCGCCTCCATTTCAGTATCAATCGTAACTCTCTCGGACCACATACCTTAACATCTTCCAGACAATACTTCACTTCATCAGTTGTCGATTCGTCATTTAACCATCTTTCATCATCCAGAGCAATCTGCAACAATAATTTCGAATTCAAAAGAGAAAAATTAAAGCGCATCGTACAGCCATACCAATTATTTCAATGGCGACTAAAATTAATCAGCTAATTAAAGTACAAAAATCTAAAACATTATTATATTTACAAATTTATGTTTCACTTTTTTCTTATCTTGTTACAGGACTAAGAAATATTATTCTAATAAATCTTACCATTTCTAATAATTTACTCCCAGAGAAAAAGCTAAATTTCCATAGAAAGAATTCAGAAAATTGACTCACTTTATACGCAGAAGCCAATAATTCCAAATAATCGCTACTCTGAATAAAATCTGTGGCATTTATTGTTTTATGGAGTGAAAGAGATTCATTTTCATAACCAGTTGCCGGTACTTTCTTCAACTTTGTGCGTTGTTGTAACAATAATTGCCTGAAAACAAAAAAAAATGAGAAAGATCTAATTTAATGAAATTAAATCATCGTAAAAATCAGAATCAATTGCGAGTGGAATCTATTGAAAACTTATGAAAGAAGATATCACTTACGGATTTGAGGTTATTGATTGCTGTGTCGATTCAGCAAACACTTTTTTGGGATCTAAGAGATCGGGATTGAGTTTCTCCGGTTTTAGGTACTTCTCGCAAACTACAAAGATCTCTGCGGATTCCAGACGTGATGCTGCTGGTTTCCAAACGTGTACCTATATAGGACATCTGTGATCAGCAAAAGTATCAAAACGCTGATATATTTGGACTACACTAACATCACGTAATTATTGCCAAACTTAGTCATACTAAAGTCGCATGAATATCTAGAAAAAATTTTCAAATATATGCAAGCAATTTAATATATTCTAAATTTTATTATAGTTGAAACCTACTTGTTTAAACAGTTTCTCAAATATTGATATCAGGTAATGATAATCACTTGAGCGAAAAATTTTCGTCACAAAAACACCATTTTTTGCTAATATTTGTGTGGCAAGTTTCAAAGCTGATAGTGTTAGACAATTTTGCTGAAACGCATCCTGAACCCAATTACGTCCTATGTTAGGTGCGCCGTCATGTAATACACAATCAGCCTGCAAAGTAACAATCATTTCACTAGGAAATATTAAGACGTTTTACAAAAAAATGAAATCTTAAAGAATATATAGAGAGCATCATGATTTTTAAATGCTCAGTAGAAATAACGAAAGCGCTCTTTACCGAAAAATCTCGCCTTATCAGTGTAATACAGCTAGAGATTATATCCATCTCAATATCATCTAATATTTTTAAATTTCTTTGTTCAGCTATAAAACACACTTCCCAGCCATGAAGCTCCTTCCGGATCATCTGTCTAGTTTTTTCCGTGGTTATATCACCTTGTAAAGTTATACATCTGTTGATCGGTTTGATAGGCACTAAATCAACTCCTGAAAACAACTATCCGCCCAAATATAAATATGAAAGTATTAATTTTAAAAATATGCAAGAATTTGTATTAATTTTATAGTAATTTTAATAATATGGACTTAATTATGTAAGCTCCCCTCGCATTATACATCAAAAATTCTGATATCTTTATATGCAACTTCTCTATAGAAGCTTCACCTATGCAAAGCGATGAAACGGGCATATTCTGTGTGGCCACTTGAAGCCATCCACCTGGCGCTGCGCATAAATCAACAACTGCTCTGGATTTTTGCAAAAATTCGAATCGCTTATTAAGTTGCAACAATTTGAATGCAGCACGAGATCGATATCCTGAAATAACAAATGTGCAAACTCTCTATTCTCGATTTTAATCCTTTACACATGAAGGTTCATAGACTGTATCACTATTTTAATCATCTGGTGGCTTACTCTTATATTACATGGACCGATACTTTTTCTGAATATGACAAGCTTAGGAACTTAATTTCATAAAAATGCTTGAAGAAATGAATAGAGCTAAATGAAACCTGCTTCTTTTGCGAGATGATAATATTTATCTCGACGTTGCTTTCCAATTTTGGTCTTCTTACCCATTTTCCTCTACTTCGGCTGTTACACGAAATATAAATTTTCTGAAAAACGCTAGCTTCCCGCATTTCTATTTCTCACATTCTAATTTAATTTCGCAATATCATACTTCCAAAACAAAGAAATATTTCGCGAAAAAAGAATAATTATTTATGACACTATTTATAGCTAATCTTATCCACTTCTACCGTCCATTAATTTAGAATCATATTATTCTTTCTCATTAAAATAATGACAATATCAGTTCTAATTTATTAAACTGCTAATAAAATATGCATGCTCACAAATCTTAACAATCCTTTCAACCTCGTCATCATTATTATTATCAGAGATTCAACAACAAAACCATTAGCATCATAAATTTTTTAACATAAAATGTAAATATTTGTTCACAAATTGTAAATGATACATGAAAAAACTATTTCATTCATTTTGAAGTCATCTCCGGAATGCTAGAATAATTCTGTAATCTTGATATTCATTTATCAAAAAAAAATCCCATAATCCTAAAATAAAATCGTGTTTTTTATAAGAATGATTCAGTTGTGCTCATACATACGTAAGAGAATGATATGGCTTCCGGTCGAATTCCGGTTGAACTGCAACCGGGAGAAGCTCCCCCATACCGGCATCCCGACGACTTATCACCGATTCCATATGAAACTTCATTATCCCACTGCAGGTTTAGGGGATGAATAGCTATAAATCAATGATTTGGGTTTTTTAATTCCTGATTATAAAGGTGCCGGAGCATTTATTTCTGGTTAGTTTTAATAGAATGTGTTTGTTTCCGGATTGTTTGCTTTACCGTCTGAGTTGTCGGACGAACATGAAAATTTGATTATTTGTATTGAATTAATTTTATGAAATTTTCAGCTTATTAATTTTATAATATATTATTTTGCTATTAACAAAATTTGCCTTACACTTTTTATATATTCTTCTTTATATGTACATGTAACTAAATACGTATGATCACATGCAATTTTTTTTAACGCTATTATTAAAGTTACTGTTAACAGTTTTGACAGGAAAATTTTCATTCGATTATCGTAATTTTTTTATTGATTATTTCAAATACAGCGTGTATTTTTGTCTCATTTATTTCAAAAACTGAATGAAATATTTATTCGCGTATATTTATATGCATAACATATTATTTTTATAAATATCTTTGATGTGCATTTTACATAATATCAGACTTATTCACGTGTATACATTAGCCATCTAGCTAACTTCATAGCAGCCGCTGACTTTTTATGTTCTTTAATAGTTAAACAAATTGCATTAGAAACTTTATTTTATGAACCTTTGAACGCTATTTGCACAAGTGCCTTTGCTGCTTTATTTGTTATTTGTTTGTAACAGTTTGTAATTCGTAAAAATATTCAATCGATGAAAAATATTAAAAAATTAAAGGTAGAATGGATAATAATTAACACTATTTTTCAGGAAACATCAGGATGCATATTGTAAACAGCCATTAATTTATCGATATGTTGAAATCAAAATGTAAATAATTCGAAATGCGCTTTGACGATATTATTATTCCGAAGGTTAGTTATGTCTTTTTTCTTTCTCTTTTTCGCTCTCATAAAAATGCAAAAAAGGAAGCAAAAAGAAAGAAAGAAGGAAGCGGAGGAATTTAATAACTCGAGAAAGAATAAAATGAGGAAAATATATCAGTGATTTAAGGAATTAAGTAAAGGCATTGCTAAGAATTGATTTTGATCAGCAAAATTTTGTTAAATTCTTAGCAATGCCTTTACTCAATTGTTAAATTTTTCCTCTTTCGTTTACTCACTTAGCATTATTAACTTCATAAGGTATATTTAATATATTTTTAAGATTTGAAAAGTAAATATTGAAGGAAAACTTACGTATGATAAAATTTTGTGACTTTCTCCTTCTGGTCTTGAACGTCCAATTTTTTCGCACAATAAAAGATAGAGGAAAATAAAGGATGACAAAGATAAGGGAAAAGCAAATTATACAATGCGATAAATATTGTGCAAAAACAAATTATGCAGTGCGATAGGAAAGAAATTTATGGTAATAATGGAGGAAAAAGTCGATGACTTTAATGCTTTAAAAAGAAATTGTTGTATTTAAGGGTTCATTACTATGCTTCTCTCTTTGTTGTGTTATTATTTATTTATTCTTACTTTAGTCAAGATTCAGATTGTCTGTAAGTTTGCTTACAGCTAAGCATCATGTATAGTCCAAATAGCATAAATTTTATTTGGAAAGTTTTTAAATGTTTGAAAAGAAAAGCGAGTAAAAGTGATATATCAAAACACTCCACATATGCAAAACATTCCATGACATTTTCCTTAACAATTTACATTTGTCATTAATATTCTCTCCATTCTTTTTCATTTATAAATTATAAATTTACATAAGGAAAAAAAACTATGGTATTAATATATAGAGCAATTTTGTGTTTGTTAAATTCTTAAAGCTATGTTATTAGTTTCTAAATTTTTTTTTAATTACAGAAATTATCTTCAAGTTGTTAACAAATAGTGTTAGCAATATTTATGTATTTTTCATTATTTACATTATTTTTGAGCCGTTTATGTCTTTAATTTAAACTACTTTATTGCATTTCAAAAGAATTGTGGTTTAAGTGAGCTCCCCAATTACACAATATTTTTGGTCTTTTTCTTTTTTTCTTAACGATAAACACTTAAAGCTATGCTTTTAAAGGTGCAATTTTTTAAATGATATCTTTTGGAATGATTTTAATGAGGCGTAAATTATTTCATATAATTACAAGCTCCATGAAGCTTTAGGTAGTATAAGTTGAATGCATATTGCTAAGTAGTGTGATGCAAAAAATTTTTTATAGTATATATTTAATAGTTTGCTATATATATTTAAAGCTGAAGTCTTCGTATTTTATTTACGTAAGTACAATTCAGCAATCATAATGCATTGGATGAATGACATTGTTGGCGAATAATTATTTGCTGATTGTTTACTTCTGTAAAATCTCTTCTATAAAATCTATTTCGAATAATTTTTAACTATAAAAATTGTACAAAAAATGATGAATGTATTGGAGAATGCTGTCGTTATAAGCTAAAGTAATGATATCCAAAACGGTTGATTGATAAATTACTGAATCATTTAACAGTTAGGTAGGATAATAATGCAACTTTTTGGGCATCTTTTAATGGAGCTGTACAGTATTTTTGTTCCAGCGTGCAATGATACTACAACAAGATAATATCAAGATTTTTAGGAATGAAAATGTTTAGGTCATGTGATTATTTGGAAATGGATACAATAATTTAAATTGTGAAAGAAACGAAATTTTCTTGCAAATTTTGACAAGATTTAAAGGTAACTTTTAAATAATGTAGGAAATCTCTAGTCGTATGCTGGTTGAAAATTAAATTACTTTTTTTTCCTGGAACATTTTTTAATTGATAGTTTCCAAACATGGAATTCGATTCAAATTTCGGACATTATCACAATCATAAGTGGATTTGTTTATTTGTAATATAAATGGCTAGGTTTTCTGTAGAAATTGTCATTAAATCCATTTTATATCATTTTATTTTTGGTTGATTTATTCCGTTAGAAAGTTGATTGAATTTATCTTTTGCATCATAAAATCTTTTGAATTCTACTAACTTAACATAATTTTTTAGTAGAAGAAATGGAAATTTTTTTCAAAACAAATGAAAAAAAAAGTTAAAATTAATGCAACTCATAATAGATGTCATAAAAATGAGGGCAAATATATCATATGATTGAATATAAAAGATATGCATTTAATAGATTAGTTCATTATATGTTAGAGAGTTAGAGATGGCATAATTCGATTAGCAAGCCTCTTTAATGGTTTGACAAATAAATGGACTTGGGAGTATAAATTGCGATTGAAAGAAATAGAAACAATTGGTTTGCAGTGGATAATTGTTGATGTTATCAAGCTAAGTTAGTTTTATTCTTTCATTTCTTCAAATAAACTTTTCTTTTTTTTAATATCAGGAATTTTCTTTCGTTTCTCAACAACAATAAATTTTTAAAGATTAGACTAAAAATATAAAATATAAAGCATAGAAAAAAACTCCATTGTTAAAATTTTTACTTTTTTAGTCTAATCTTTAGAAATTTATTGTCATTTTTAAGGAGTCTTTTTTCGTTTCGAACTCTTTCTTTGTTAGCATTCATCAAGCAATTATTTTCTGGAAGTCATTTCAAAATTTTCTTTTACTAACAAAATTGTAGAAAAATCATAGTTATGTATTTTTTCCATAAAATATTTGCTCCAATAGAATTATTTACCGAGATTTTTTGATTTAAAAAATGATCCGTGTAAAATAAAAGAAAAAAGCCTTGTTCACCATTATCATTACAAACATTGTCTTTTGTCAGATTTATATATGCTCTCATTCCTCTTATTTTTATTGTCTATTTGTTCATAAGGAAAGTTACTACAACCTTTTAAGTGACCCTGATATACTTGTAAGATTGATTACTTCCTTTTTTCAATGATGAAAATTTTTATATTTTATTGCTTACGATCAGTCATTTCGTATTTGTGCTTGAGATCATTTGTAGTCTAAATTCAAAAATTTTTTATTGTAGGTTACTTTTGATTTTTTTTTTTTTAAAAGCACATTTTTGAATTCAATTTTCCGGATTTTAGATTATATTTTGGATTTGTTTACATTTGACGTACTCAAAGTCTCATCGTAACTTTTTTTTTAAATTTATGTTAAGCACATCTTATATTTGATTCCATTCTTTTGTAAGCATTTTGATTTTGTAATTCCAATTTTCAGCTGTTGTTTTGGGAGTTTGGATTTTTGTGTAGTGGCTAACTAAGGCTATATTTCTCGTTTATAATGCTAGAAAAAACTTTTTATATATTGATTCATTTTAACTAAGCCCAGGATCAATAGTTATTGGCAAACACTTCATCCTCATCGTTACAAATTCATCATATCTTTCATCTCTCGCATTCAATTTTTATTTCATATTCTTCCAAATGTTATATTTAACCTTGGAGTATTTATGAATTTTCCAACAACTTTTTTTAAATTAAAATTCATCCAGTAGTTGATAATATCAGGTAAATTGTCAATGAGCTTACCGATGGTATCCTCGCCACTCGATGAATTTGAAATTGCTCGATTGCTATTGATTGATGGATTCAAACGTTTGTATGAAACGATAATGGGCCATGAATCGTTACGGGATGACGATTTGATATTATATTGTGGATTGTTACAAACGGTGTGCGGTTTTATAAAACGTTTCTGAAACTTTAATTTGTGAAATGCAAACTTATCTGTTAACTCTCTTTCTGTTATTTGAACGAGAATGGATAAGGTTGGACTAAAGTTTAATGGAGAAAATTTATTTCTAATGAGCTAAGTTTTTCTTTTTCATTATTTTAGAAAACGAATTAAATTCTGAGCTTTTTAAGAGAAAGATAAAACTTAAAAAATGTTTTACTGAACTAACTAAACGCATTTATTTGAAAAATCTGAAATTAAATCTTTTATTATCTTTTTATATCTGCACACATGAGTTTTTTTTTTGTTGGTATGTATGTATGTATGTAAATGATTGAACTGCTTTCATTTTTTATCCACAACTTTGACTTTCAAGAGTTTGTTCATATGAACTAATACAGAGTAGTTTTTATTTGAAAAAAAAAGGCATAATACGGAAATGTTGAAGTAAGTGAAACAATAATATTTTAAGCAGGATATAGCTGATTTGCATCCTGAAAATGTATTTTACTTCTGCTATTCCATATAATATAATTTAATTTAATGAGGAATCATTAAAATATCGAAAAGCTTTTAGAAGGATGAAAAGAAAAACAATCATTAAATGTTTTATTTTTTCTCTTAAAAATATATTTTTTGAAACTTTTTCTTAAATATTGAAGTTTTATTTTCATCCGAATCGAAAATATACTTTAATATTTCAATTGAAAATCAGCAGTCGAATTTGTCCATCCATTCTTTATTATCAGAATTATTTATTAGATGTTTTTCTTTTCATCACAAAATTATTTTCTCCATATTCTCGAGAAACCTTTTAACAGGCATCAACTTTTGGTCCAGGTAAATTTGATGATCAGCGTAAAGATGAAATGAAACTATAATAATACGGGAAGGGCTAAAACTTACAATGTTTTTTCATGAAGCTAATTTCAGGTGAACAAAGTGCAGTTGATTGATCGGTTAGGATCGGAGCCGAACATTGTTGGTTCGATACATATAACCACTTCTCATGTTATTTTCAAAGCTGAAGACAGTGCTAAAGAAATATGGGTTTGTTTCATTTTTTTTTCAATTTTTTATATTTAATATTATAAAATTAAGTCATTTTCATGAAATTCGTGAGATTGTTTGATAGTTTCATTTTCATAAAGTAATTTTCACACATAACATTTTGATATAAAGTTATTTTTTGATATCAAGTTATTTACTGTTTTACATTTGATCATCTTTAATTTTTATTTTCTAAATTTTTTATTAGCAGTATTTAAATGAATAGAATTCTAACGAGTTGTTAGAATTAAGCTTTGTTCAAACATAACTAGCTATTGTTAAGAATTTTTGAAATATAACAAATAGCACTTAGAGTAAACAAAAGTTGCAAGAGCATGAAGAGAGCCAACATTTAAAAGAAAATCAAAACAAGCATCAAAATTTTTTCATGCTAGAAAGATACAGCAACTGATATAGATTGTAGACTATTGCTACTAATAGGATCCAGTTCTTAATATTTTAGTCAGTCAATTAATTAAATGGGATTATCCACGATTAATTTTTTCTCCTGCAAGAATTTCTCTAAACAAGTTGATGAAAATTGGAATAAAACGAAATAGTTCTTTTTTTTCAGGTTCCAAACGGGTTAATCGGAACGGTGGAGAAAGGGACACTTTCAGCATTAGGGACACCTTTAACAGTGAAGTGTAAACATTTCTTAACTTTAACGTTTTTAATAACACGTGACAAAGAGTGTCAGGATCTCGTGGAAACATTGAATAAATGCGGCAAACCTGGTTCGTTTGTTTAAAATCAAATTAAAATGACGCTATATGGATGTAAAAAATTATTGCAAGAATAAAATTTAGTAAATGTTGGCAAATGATGAGAAAATATAATACAGATCATAATGTTCTGGATGATAAAGATTATCCTAAATATTATTTATTTTTGTCAAATTGATTTTATCATAGTAAAAGTAGTAATGTCAATAACACTAGTAATACGTTTATGATAATTTTTAGATAATTTATTTAGCCTAAATAACTTCATATATCGGTATTAAAATGCTAACAATATTATCAACCAGTTTGGTCAAAAATTTTTAAATGTTGAATATGTAAAAAGAGACGAACTTTTGCATTTATTTCAGTAAATATAACGGATGTATTTGCATTTGAAAATAAAGAACGAAATGGTGATATTCGTTTGAATGTAAAAAAAAGAGGTTGGGATCGATTCGATTGGGTTGTTGAATTTACTCGTCAAGGAATTGGTGTAGCGGATGATCAAAAATGGAAAATTACGGATTTTAATACAGGATATAAGGTTTTAATTATCGTTATTCGTGCAGATTTTAGTGCCCTTATTTAATATGAGTTAGTAATTGAGTGACTAAATTAGTTACTGATGCACTCTCTTTACAAATAGATGAAAATATTACTTGAAACTGCGAGATCAGTCATTGGAGTTTCAGGATACCGTTACTAATCGCGAGTTAAATAATGATTAAAATTTTCGTCTGGTATAATTAGTTTCCAAAAGACTTACACTGGGACAAAATTTTTTTTGGAATTACTTGATTAAATGTTTTTTTTTGCCAGTACTTCGTGATAATGTTTTTGCTTGGAAGTATTTTCGGATAATTAAGATAAAGATAAAATCCTACTCTGTAGTATTAATATTCCATATTATTCACGGTTATATATAATCGGCTTTCTTCAGTACTGTGACACTTATCCAGAATGTTTATGTGTACCATCTGCGACTACCACTCAAACCCTTATAGGATCATGCAAGTTTCGTAGTCGTGCACGTCTACCCGTGCTTACATATTTTCATCGACCAAATGCAGCAAGCATTTCAAGGCTTGTTTTGTTTTTGCATAATTTTTTTTGCTTTGTAAAAATTTCACGAAATCATTTATTTATTCATTTTTCGGGTTAAAATGTATTTTTTAACTGTTAGATTGTTACAACCGAGAAGTTGATTAATTCAGGTTTTCCTAAACGTTTTCAAGCAATTTACTTAACTATAGCTAGTACTTCCTCAACTTCAATCGTTTTTGTAGAACAAAATAATTAAAAATAATGATTTGTAGATCGTAAAATGTATATTTTGAAGTGGGATAAAAAGTAAAACATGTAATGATAAATCTATATTTCGTTGCAAATACTTTTATTTTTTAGATGTGCTCAACCCTTGACGGGTTTTAGTGCGCGTTGCATCGAAGATGAAATGCTAATGGATGCAATAGCAAAAACAAATCCTTCTAGTTCAGCGCTTTATTTAATTGATACACGACCAAAGGCACCTTTTTTTCTATTCATCTTTAACTTTTAATTTTATTTCATTTCTTTCTTCATCTTAAACTAATTAATAATAAGGATAAGGCAGGAGACGTTGAAAACAAAAAATCTGTACCAGGCAATAAGGATTAGAAACATTAAAAAGAATTTCTTGAAATTTGAAAATCAGATTTTTCACTGTTTTTCAAGATTTGTTCTCCAAATTTAACAAACTTTTCCGAATAATTTTTGTTTAAAAAAATGATTAATTTTTGCTTCAGATGAATGCTATGGTTAATAAAATGCAAGGCAAAGGATTTGAAAATGTTCGGAACTATACGAATTTACGATTTCATTTCTTTGATATCGACAATATACATATTATGAGATCAAGCCTAAGCAAATTATTGGAAGGCAGATTTTTTTTCGAATTTGTGATAAATTTCTTTCTTAAAACAGATTCAGCAATTATTGCTAATATCTTATCAGTAATGTGTTCTTATTAATAAAGTCTTTATGAAAACGCAGAGTATAGATTAGTTAGCTATGGTTTTGATAAGTAAATTTGATAACGCAGATATAGATCAGTTAACTATAGTTTTGATAAAATTTGATAACGATGAAATTGAATAAAAAACAAATCAAATCAGTGAATAAATTGATAAAATTATTGAATTCGTTTACTATTTGTTAATGTTATCAGTTTCGTAAAACGATTCATCAGCACTTTAAGCTTATCCACTTCGGTCAAATTCCAGCATGTCATCGAGCGAAAACGGTCACGGATTATTACAAACAATTAGAAGCATCCGGCTGGTTAAAACATGTTCTTGCCCTGTTGGAATGTGGTAATTTTTTGGCTATTTCAATAGCACGCGGAATTTCATGCGTCGTGCACTGTTCCGATGGTTGGGATCGTACGGCACAATCGGTCAGCATTGCTCAACTCTTACTCGATCCGTTTTTCCGGACGATAAAGGGTTTTCAGGTATGTCATTTCAGGTATTTCGGAAATCCAAATATAGCATTGTTTAAAGTTTCTGATCAAAATCTTTCAAATATTGGTAAAATTCACTAATTAGTTAGGGAAATACGTTCAGTGTCCGAATTAGTTTTATTACATTAATCCGATTGTTTAATATGAAGCACCGTTTCATTGTAATTGTAACACCATTTATATTGGTTCTATACTGTTATAATAAAAAGTCAGTAATGGTTAAAATGGAAGTTTTTGAAAAGATTCTAGCGGCACTTGTAATTTGATTGTTCCCGTGGTGCTTAAACTGGAATATAATTACAATAATTTTAATGGTGAAGAAATCAAAGTAAATCTTAATAGATTTTATCGTTTGTTTCATAGAATCTGTTGCAGATATTGATCGAAAAAGATTGGCTTGGTTTTGGTCATAAATTCGACGATCGATGTGGTCATATTGGTGCTTTCAATGAAGAAGCAGCTCGAGAGGTAATTTATGAGAGGACTGCAAAAAAGATTAAAATTATGATAATTGCAAATAAGATTAGCTGCCAAACTTTATTAAACTTTTGACTGGATATAGCACTTTAGTTCCGAATATATGGGATGTTCTGATTATTAGGTGGTTTAAACATTTTGGTAATTCTTATATTTTAATATGTTTCTCTTGTCATTTATCTTAGATATTTCAGTTATTTGAATATTACAATTTTTTTTTTAATTAGAGAATGATATTTTTGCTTTAAGTTACTTTACTTGATGAGTTATTATATACTGGGAGAAAGATTTCTTGCAACTTTATATAGGTATCGCCAATTTTCACTCAATTTCTGGATGCGACATTTCAAATTATGAGACAGCATCCATGTGCTTTCGAATTCAACGAACGTTATTTGATCCATATGCACGAGCATGCCTACTCTTGTCAGTATGGTACATTTCTCGGAAATTGTGATAAAGACCGAAAGGTACAATTTCGACATCAAAAGCAGAATAATACATAGCATTTAGCATATTTCGGTTAATACGGCAACTTCCTAGAAGTTTGTTTTTTTATTTTAGGATCTCAATCTAGCGAAACGAACGCAATCTTTATGGGCATTTCTGGATGACCGTCATGACGATTACATTAATCCGTTATATGAAGTTGGTTTTTTTTTCGGTTTTGATTTTATCCCATCCAAATATCTTGTCAAAGATGTGGGAAATTTTGGCTTCTGTGAGTGATGCAAGTTCCATTTTCGAAATTTGAGATGTTTATTAAAATTTTTCGAAACTAGAATAAGTTATTTTTAAACTCAGTAATATTTCCGGTAATTTATTCAGGTTTCAGATTGGTTTCTATAAATAAGGTGAAGATATAGATTAGTGCAGTTCTATATGTTTAACTTTCAAGATTAGTTTTTATTGGTTAGGAAAACAAAAAAAAAGATTTCTATTTTTCCAACACATCATGCTTTTTAATAGGCTGATGTGAGCATTAAACATGTTAAAAACTTTGCTTCAAGACCAAACTTTTTATGAAGTAATGAAAACTGCATTCAGAAAATATTATGTTTTTCTTACAGACGAATAAGTATGGTTTTCTGGGGAAAATAAACTTACATCCATCAGCGTTAGTTGTTTGGACAGCTATGTACAATCGTTTTGATACTGGACTTTTACCACGAGAAAATACAAACGATGTGACACTGTCAACGATGGAACATGTTGGCATCTTGGAGGCACATTTGGCTTCATTGCAATCAGTTTGTGTTTTTCTTTTTTTAACCAAAAATTCAATGCTTCATAATGAATTTATTTGATCGAATAATAGTCTCATTAATAATGAATTAAAATAAATAATATAGATAATTATTTTGAAAGCTCGACAGAAATTGATGTTTTTTTGCGAAAAATTAGAAATTTTATAGAGATTGGCAGAATTAAAACTTCTGATTGGAAAGCAAACACCGGGGAGTGAAGCGATGAGCGACAGTGGTCATTCTAGCTACATTTCTAGTACTATCACACCTGAAGCTTCTAAAATTTCAGGTCTTTTAAAACAAAAATTCTTTATTGCCTTTTTTTATCAGATTAATATGCTGGCAAATTCGTTGATATCAGAGAAAAGGAAAAAATTCTTTGGATTGTCTTGCAATACCAGAAAATGAATGTATTTTGAAATAATGAAAAATAGATTTTAGATGTTGTCTTGTCAAATCATAGTTCCATAACGGATGGAAAAGGGACGAAACATTTATTGGATGGTGAACAAAATATTCAGGAAAGTGGCATATACGACGCATCATTCCCATATAGTGTTCGTTTTTGTATTATTTACTTTTTATATTAGCAACTTTTTAGCTTTTTCCAATAAGCATATAAAGTTTTGTTGACAAAATATGCAGGTAAAATTCTGAAGTTTAGATTACAAGCTATCATTGTTTAAATATTTGCCGAAATATGACCTTGAAGATTTCATTTCTCATAACATATTATAGATTGAAAAATTCCACTACTTTTTCACAATAAATATATAGTTGAATAGATTTGAAATGTAGAAAATTATTTATAAAAAGAATATTTCATATGCTGCCAAATTATGTATGTTATTTGGTGATCTTTCGCGTGATGTTATCTATAACATTTTTATAATCAATTTTAATATTTCAAAAAATCACTGGCTATTTTATTGAATTAGATAGTTCATAATCAGATAAATAACTTATTAAGAAATAAAGCTTTGTAATTTTTATTGATAAAATTGATATTTCATTTGGTGATATGTTATTCCATTTTTGTTTCCTTGATCTTCATTCATTTATCACAACATATTGGTAAAATTTTATGATTGTATTCTATGAAATCAATATTTTAGGAAAATAATAGTTCATTACCTGCTTTACGTTGGCAATCAATTCGTACGGCAGATGAATGTGCTAACATTGAATGCAGTGCAGAGTTTATCACACGTGGTGAACGTCGGCTACATTGCTATAGATGTGGTAAAATTCATTGTCGTCGTTGTATGATACTTACATCAGATGGTGCTGAGCGTATTTGCATTACATGTTTGGAATCAACGCAGCAGAATAATTCATAATGATAAAATTGCTATTAACATAGTTTTTTTTTTCACTTTTTTGAAAATTGTTTTTACTTTGACATACGTTCAACGGGATAGCATCCATTGCTTTTCTTTCTTTTTCCGCAACTTTCTCAAAATTTTAGGATGATTTGCAATAAATCTGATTGAATAATTGAATTACACGAAAATTAATTAGAATAATTTGTTTTGGAAGTTTTAAAAAACAAGTCATTCAATTTTTTCAAATTCTCTTCAACGAAGAATTCTGTTCAGATTGCATAAATTTTTTAATTAATTCGTTAAATCATATTGGTTATCATAGTTTGTTTCTTAACGCTGGATTTCTCTCCTTTTTCCTTTCATTCCGAATTTTAAATTTTGTGATATCTGATCAAATTTTTAAAACTTAGATATTTATCGGTGTTGTGAATTTTTCAACTGTTCCATTGTTCTGCAATATCTTCGTCTTTATATAAACGATATACATTTATAGAAGGGAATGCGTTCTTTGATGTAATCGCTATTGATCGATTTTTCCGAATTTTGAAATATATTTACCTTCCTGAATACTACATATGAATTAATTGAATTCACTATCAAACGGTTTCAAATGCTCTTTAACAATCTTTCACGACTTTCATGTTTTTTTATAGTCAAATGATTCTTCAGAAGTTAATTGATTGTATTATAATTTTATCATGCCATGTTATCATTTCTTTGTTATATTTTATTGGTCTTGAATATAAAACATTCTGTTGTGAGGTTAGATGCAATAGATGAATATCAAATATTGACTGGAAATATAAAGATTCACGGGATATAATATTTAAAATTTTAAAGATTTACTCGCTGTATATTTCGCTTGCTTCTTGCTCCTTGATAATCTTTCGTTGTTTTTAAATTGTTGAGTTTGAGTAGATTTTGATTTCAGTTTAGTCTAACTTATCGCAAAATGTCAACAATTAAATTGGTGGTTGTTTGAAAAATAAAAAATCTAGGAGAGATTTTATTTTTTGAAGATGAAAAAGAGGAAACAGAAGCAATCATTCATTTATAAATTTACTGTTTACCTAAACCTGACTCTTTGATGCTTTGAAGTCGAAAAAGAGCAAATAGATTATTTAATTGGAATCTCGTCCTCGTTTGTATTTGTTTAATCAATGTTATAAATTTTGCATAACTAAGTAAAATATCAATCGAGTTTTTTGTCATTTGGTACTTTAACAATTATTAGTGCTAGCAAATTTGTTTTCCATTATTGTCTCATTTTCGCCTCATCAAAAAAAAAAAGAAAATAAGGGAAAATTTTCAACGGACATAAATCGAATATCTTATTTCTTTCTCTTTGCACATACTTGATTTGCTTAGTGGATTAGATTTTTTTTTTTTAATATTTATTCTTTCTCTTCGTTTTTTTCCTTTCTTAACAGAGTGTGTATTGTTGGTGATTTAATGTACATTCATGCTTTTAACAATGTTTTCCTTTTTTTTTCAGTTTTTTTTTTTTATTTTAAATAAAGCATTTTATATTTTTGTATTCTACGCACATCAATGAAGTTAAATATCAATAAACGAAAAAAGTAGTTGTAAGTATAAAAATCACCAGCAAAATTACCAACATATCACTTTATGTGATCAATTGGAAAGTGTAAATCGAAGATTTAAAAAATTTTTAATCAAGCTGAAGCAAAATTGTTGTGATTTAAAAGGGATTTGAACGAGATGATCATAAGACATGAAAGTGATAACGAAGGATTTGAAAAATTAAAGTCCACATGAAATAAATATTGCTATTGACCATAGTGAAATTAGCACTGGTCATGAATGTAACATTGTGATGGGACTCAAATTATAATTTTAGTATTTAAATTTGAATATTTGGAATATAATCATCAATAAACGAGATTAAAACGTCAAATATTCAAGCTGATGGAATAATATTACTGTGAATTGAGATGGAAATCTACAAATTGCTTGATTTTACTAATCCTTTAAGCTTTAGAATATTTTAAAATTTATGTAATTTAGTTTCAATAACTAATAAAATTCAAATTTTTCATTTATAACATCAATTTTAAAATTAATTCTTGCACAACCAGTTGTTTTATCAATTGCAATTTCCATGAATGAAAGCAAACGGTTTGATTGCATATCTTTGGTTTTCTCGCTATAAAATTTTTAAACAAAGAATTGAATAATTTGATAGAAGATATGATGTTCGTTTGTTTTACATTAAATTATTTGTTCTAAATTAATTCATTTCTAACTGTAAAACTTTACAAAAATTCCTTTTTATTCATTTAGAAGTACTCAGTTAATCTCTTCACTTTCTTTCTCATGTCTTTCGTCCATTTATTTTATAAAAACTAATTATTTCTCAATTTTAAATGTTTTATTGTAGAAAATTTTTACACATTATGGATTTCATGCATGTATATTGTTTTAAACGTGCTACCTTTTTTCCGCATTATTGTATTCGAAATTTCGATGAATTAATGATTGAATGATTACATTAAGCAGTTTTCAAATGTTCATTAGCAACTTAATTAGTTAACAAGTTATTTATCAAAACAAATGTTGTATACTGTAATCGTCTTTTCTCCTTTCCACATACAGTATTTTCTTCTCTTTTACTTTATATAATTTTGGAATTTCTGCACAAGTAATTGATTTCCAAATTTTCCTTTGTTTTAAAAATTATGTTCTAAGAATAATTATGAAATAATTTAATCATCTTTTATTCAATTTTTTATGATTACCTTGATAATGATATTACTGTAGATAAGTAATGATAGTTCATATAATTTTTTACAATAAATTATACAATACTAATAAAATTGATATACAGTTATTTCTTACAGTAAATCGCACAATACAAGTAAGAATGATACATCGCCAGATGAAATGATAATTGGTGCTGATAAGAGTGGAAATTATACGAATAATTTAATGGATTTGATAGTACCATCAACCAGCGTCAATCAACGGATGCGTCGTACTGAAGAAATTTTAGATTCAATACCATATTTCTTTAATAGTATGCTTGATGACAATAATTTACAAAGACGATTACTTGTTGAATTAGGTTAACTTTTCTCTTATATCAGTATTTGATTTCTTTTTTTTCTTTAGTTTTTAAAAAATTTGGAATTTTGAAATTTTTTCGAATATTAGAAGAAAATGAAATATTGGTTTAAGTGATACAATAAACGAATCAAATTTCTTTTCTGTCCAAAAACTATCAAAAAATAAACGAAATATCAATGTTGAATATAAATAATATATTGATGAAATAACTGTATGGAATTTTCTTCCCAAACCACTTTTCTTGCAAATTAATATTTCTAATTTATTTAAAATCTCCACCTTCCACTACAACATTTCGTGACAGATGAATGTTTTTTAATATCATGCCCAAAATTAAAAGAAGAAGTGAATCCAGAATCAAATTGGTATTTGGTTATACTGGAATCAAATGGAATTATTTCGAAAATTAAAGTACATTTTTTTTGTTTTCTTTTTCTCCAGACATAGTTTTTTAGCGTTTAATTAGCTTGTTTTAATGAATTCTTTGTACAAAAAGCACAAATTTAGCTTTTAATTGACAACGAAAAAACTAATTATATTTAGATAACATATCGTGACAAAACTTTAAAAATTTGGAATGATAAGAATACCACATTACGTCAATACATCGAAATGCGTTCATTGAAAACAATTGAACGACCATGGAAAATTATTCCGCAACAGGTTTTAAAAATTTCAAGAATTTATTGCAGTTTAAATTAAGCCATACGTATATTATAACAGCAATAGCAATAACAACAACAACAACAACAACAACAACAACAACA